TTTCTTATATGTGTAGACATATATATTTTTCATACAATTAAGAATAATAATTTATACTTATAAATCTCGTTCTTTATAAGTTCTCTAATTATAATAATGTTTATAGAAGAAACTTTATACTTATGAGTTTATTATAATTTCTGGATTGTAAATAACAGAGAAAAGCATATTTAATATATTATAATATATTCATAATATATTTATAATTTTATATATTTTAATATAATTTTTATATAATTTGTATATAATTTATATAATTTTATATCCAATTATTTATAATACAAGCACACATTCAGGCATATATAATTATAGAATTTAAAATAAATAATGCTTTTAGTATAAGATTATTCGATTTTTTTTCTTTACATTGTCATATATGAAAATTTTACAAGAAATGTGTTCATACGAGTAATATTTTTATACTAGAAAATATAAAAACATGTATTAGAGCCATTATAAATATATAATTGAAGTATACTTTATTCATACGAAGGAGGATATCTCTTGTTCTTAAAAAGTAAATTACCTAATAGTGATAAAGGTATCTCGAATAGTTTCCCGTACGGTATGTGCTTGGGCCTGGGACATACGTCTAAGATTTCTGATTTCTTGACGCAGATCCTTGGCTTTTTTCTGCAAACCTCTCAATTGATTATACATTTCTGGAGTAAGAGCTAGATCTCGATAGACGTATTGACCCGTTGCTAATGCTACAGGTTTTGGAGGCGGAGTCGGTTTATGCCTCTCTCGTTCTGTACAAATAGAAATTGAATTAGCCTTATATTGAATATTTGTTCATTATATACATGTTTTACAAATTGATTTGCAAGGAATATGTTAGAACATTTTTAAAAAGATTAGACAGAAATAGATAGACAGATGTGTATAATGTGATGTAAACTGAATGCGGATGTGAGTGTGAGTGATACTAATGAGATTTAATAATTAGTTAAAAGTACTTTACCTTGTGAAGACATCCTCGGCAGAGTCGAGGATTTGATAGCCGGTTTGGTAGGTTTTGAGTCCGCTAGTGTGTGGAGGTAGCAAAGCACAATCGTATAAGTGATGTTAGATAGAAATTTTGACGTATAAATTGAATCTCTCTGTCGATTCAAAAATAAAGCTAGCAAGCGAGCAAGGATTTGTTTGTAAAATAATTTTTTAACGCACTCGTTTATTGCAGTTAATAAGTATATTATGATTCTCTTAACGGCTACGTAGAATTATATGATATATCATTTTAATAATTTCTAAATACAATGTACAGCGTACATTCTATACAAATTTCAATATTCATTATATAATTATCTCAATAATACTAAAAGGTACTTCATTATATTGTAAGAGGATGTTGTCCGATTATAAATTGTTTTATTTTAAATTGTTTTATTTTAAATATTACTTTGTACTTAAATCCAATCCTTACTCCTTTACTGTTATGCACATGTTTTAAAATGTTATATACAATTATAAATTTTAAAAACGTTAAAGCGTAAAAACGATTGTTTTTGTGTTATTTGACAAAGAGAAAATCAAAGAACTAATGTATATTATATGTGTAAGTAATGTAAGGAAATAATGTAGTAAAATAAATAAAGAAGAAGAGTAAACATGTGAGAAAAAATAGAGCTCGGTTAAAGTAATTAAATATCATAAGCTTATGTATTTAAACTCTAACTTGATCTATTACCTGTGTGTTGCGGTGAATGCTGTTTAGGAGAGTTCATGTCAGGTGGTTCGTCGCTGAATGAAACTGATTTTTCGAAAGATACTGATTTATCTGTAAAAATTTAAAATAATGCAAAAATTAAAAAAAAAAAAATATGAATAACATGTAATTTACACATTAAGTTACGAACAAATTAAATTTTGATTATTCTGTGTGCTTGTGTTTGTGTATTTGTGCGCGCGCGCGTGTGTGTGTGTATGTGTGCACGCGTGCACACGCGTCTAATTTGTGTATGTAAGTGTGCATGAGTGTAGATAAGTTTGTCATCGCTCAGACGCGCGCATTATAAAAATATAGCTCTGTTCTTTGGAAAATAAATAAAATGCATGCTTATAAATTTAGTTATAATAACTTTTAACCTCAATGATTAATGTTTTTGATTACAGCTTTTGCGTATACATATTATGCAACATACATTACATATAAATAAATCTCCATTAACATACAAAGTAGCATAAATGACCGAACATAGAATATGAACTTCATGCTGTAAACTTAAGTTAACAATTCCAATAGACCTTTATTATATTCTTCTTATTAAAATAATAAATTTTGAAAACGAAAGTTAACTCAAAAAATTATATACTTAATTTAATTATATAAAAATAAGAGTTATAAATAATAAATATCATATATATATATATATATATATATATATATATATATATATATATATATGATTATTTTATGTAATTATATATAAATTTATAAATAAAAGAATTAAAAAATTAGCAATTTGTATACAAAAATAATTCAAATAATGAAAAAAGATATAAAGATGAAGCCCATAGCATGAATAAATTCACATTATCAATTACATAAAGAAATAAAAAAATCATTTAAAAAAAGCGCACCTTTGCCTAGTTTCGGTGGCTTAACGTCGGTCCTTAAATAGTTGTCATCTGAAATATTACAGTTTCAGTACTTATTTTAAAATCATAATAAGGATGCAAACAGTTGAAAAATATAATCACGAAAGAAATCTAGGTAGAGGAGGGAAAAACGAGAAAGTAAAAGAGAAAAAGAAGAGAGAGATAGAAGGGTAATAGAAATTCAAAATAAATGGACTAGATGATGAAACTTATGTAATTGAGCAGTTATAATGATATTCCTATGTTATATATTACAAACATATTAATTGTTGGTTAAAAATTTTAATTTTTAACTCATAAATTTATTAATAATAAAAACTTATAAATTTTTTATTGAATATACAGTTTTTTTTATTACATCCAATTATAATTTGCTTCTTCTATTTTATGAATTTATCTAAGTATTTTCTACAAGAACATTTCAGTTATTTATTTAAATTTGAAAATATGCCCATAAATTAAGGTAATAAAAACTAAGAAAATTTATCAGAAGTTATAAATATTAGATATATTTTACTAATATTATTGATTGCTTTTTGAAACTATATTATTCTATTCTAATCATTAGTAATGAAAATATATTTAATTTAACAATTATAACATTCATACAGTTTTCATGATGTTTATAAATTCAATTTAGCTTTATATATTTCACATAAAATATATTTATTTAATATATTATAATCATAAGCTTATATAAATAAATTAAATCTTCTCCAAAATTATATATGTAAATGAGGAAGAGAAGTAAATGTATTATACCCATGGTAAAAAAATTGGAAAATGTTGCATAATAATTATGAGAAAAGAGAAAGAGACAGATTCGGTGTCAGTCAAGCAGTGCTCTTGCTTAAATACTTTTTGAACTCGTCTCCTGCGCCTATGTGCATATTAATAAAAATATTTTATAGCAGCGCGAGTAATTCATACCGATCGCCACAGATTAAAATCATAAATTATTTGTCCACATTTTCAATTTCTTTTAATATGAGATTTTTAGAAAGAGTTTTTTACTGAAATTACCGTTACACATATATACATTTGATCGTAAAATAACATAGAATCTTTTAAATAGATTATTAATAAATTTGGAAGATATATTTGTACTTTAGTTGCGATCCATAGTTATTTACCCATATAATATGTTTAATATATTTTCAGAATCATCGATATCATATATTATTAAAATACTAGTTAAATTTTTCATTGCAAAAACGTAAAATCTTTCATTCAATTCACATTTATCGATTGTGAAAAATCTTTTATTTAATTTTAAAATTTAATTTCAAGTATTTTAATAATAATATAAATTAATACATTTTATTTAACGAAAAAATTATGGCTACTATATTATATATAAATATAGATATTTTAAAGACATAAATAATATTTAAATTAATATTATAGATATTTTAATTTTAATAAGATTTTCAATTTGGAGTTTTTGTTAATAGAAATTATTATTAACTTTATATATTCTAAATTCTTTAATCATCACTGTATAAATATATATAAATTTGTTTCGCCTCTTCATATTACTATAAATTAATGAATATTAATATTCGTTTGAAAATATTAATTTTGTTAACTATATCCGGCAGCAAAAATAATTTACGAAGTTTTTATTCTATTTTGGTATATAATATATATTTTAGTATTATTTCAGTCTATATAATTTTTAACTGTAATGTAAGTTTTGATTTTGAATTAGAAAAGGTTTTAATAGAAAAATTAATTTATTCGAATAAATAGTATTTGAGGCGTTTATTGTAAAATTGTGTAATTAAACTAGATATATAACATTTCTATATAAAGTGAGTTTTAAACATAGTATTTTTTTATTATTTTACAACGAATTTTATATATTTTATTTATAGTTATAAACTATTAAAAACGATAAGTAATTTGTAATAATAAAATGCTTATGTTTGTGAATTACATGTCATAATTACCTATTCATACGTACGTACCGCCCATCACCCACCCCCTCCCAACAAACAAACAAATAAAAAAAACTTATATATGAACTCAATTAATAAGAAATATCAACTTAACACAAATGAAGAAATCTATATTCATTATATTCAAAATCAGTTTTACACTGTTTCTCGTTTTACCAGTAAAAATTTAATTTTGGAATTCATATGATATTCATATTAATTTTTACTTATTTTCCTTATATATATATATATAGAATTATATTTATTTTATTTTTATTAATATATTATAATACATATTTATATATATAAATTCCTTTGTACAAATGATAGCAATGAAAAATATTCCGTTAGAAATATGCATTTTTTAAAACAAACATATATGTAATATTATAAAACTATGGTCTTTATATTGAAATTAAGTTTTATAAATTAAACTCTAATTTCTATTCAGAAAGCGTACGTTTCTTATAATAAAAAGTGATGAAGTATAGGATCCTATTATAGATATGACAATTATTTAAAAAATTCATTTAAAAGATTCAATTTTGTATATAGCACTTTATAATTTAATCTAAAATATTTAATAATATTTAGAATAGTTGTTTAAAATTAAAATATATAGTGAATTAGCTGTGGCATGTTTTCTTGTATGTAATTCAATAACGATTTTTTTAAATCGATGAATACTACCTTTACACAGTAGAAGTACATTATTTAATTTATTACCGATAATAGGAATAAAAATTTACTTTGTCGTGTAGAATATACATGTGGAGCTTAGTAACGTATAGGATATTAGAAGGTGAAAATAACAAAAACGAATATACCTGTATTACGGACATAGGTATCGCGTCCAGCAGGAACTTGTAGATAGTCCCTTGGCGAGGGACTTGGATGCGGTGCATGTGTAAGAGCTTTTTGTACGAGTCCTGTTAAGTTGGCGAGTTGCCTTTCCATATGTTCCACTCTTATTCTATTGAGAAAAATTGTTAATTTAAATTCTCTTGTCTATCATTTTCATTAAGTATTACAATATACGACCTAACTCGCTACTTGTGTTAAGCTACAGTACAAACATGTTCTTTAATTGATGATTTGATAAAATCTTATTACTTTCTAATACAAACAATATGGTTCGTAAAATAAGAATTTAACGAAAAATCGAAGAATTATGAGTTTATTAAATAATGCAGTGATAGAATACTTTTTTTAATCAATTATTAAGATTTCTGGTTAATTTAATATACATTATTTATAAGCTTGTTTTTCTAATATAAAACATAATCCTAAAGATTTCCACAAATACATGGATCATTCAATGCTTTACAATGGGGATATGTTTTTACACCATAATATACTACGTACACAAGCTACTTCAAATATTTTTAAAAACGATTCTAAATCGTTCATGCACTATTATAATTCAGATTGCCTATTTGTTCAATTATACATAATGTGTAATAAAAATAATAATGAAGAAAAAATTGTAAATAATCTACTAATCGATAAAAAAATATAAGATTCACTGTCTAATTTAGTAATATGAATCCAGTGATATGGATGATTAGAGTTTAAACTATTATAATACAAATTTGTTATTTTTTATTATTTTTAGACGCATTATGTATGCATATTTAGCGTATAGATTACATTAAAATTTAAAAGCATTTTGATTGTAATGTCTTTGAATCAATTATAATAAATTTTAATTAAATTAAAATTGAAGCTAGCAACTTTAGAATATAAAATTACAAATTGTATATTAAAGCCAGCGAATGCTCAAGTAATTTGAGCGAAATAAAGATTTTTTGCTAATACTATTGCAAAAATAAAATTCAAAATTTATCATATTACTTGTTAATAAGTTAATTATTAAAATACGTAGTAAAATAGTAATGGTCTGATAATTTTCATATAGAGTATCATCTTGTACACGACATAAATAAAAAAAGAATGGTCATAATTTCTTGATGTAATCATAAGGTATTTTTCTACAAACCCAATAAATTTTCTTTAAGTATTCGAGTATTTATTTTTGTTTATGTATATGCGTGCGTGCATATAGTAAATGTAAGCGTACGAAGTATACACGTATGCATGCATAAATACATTTTAAATATAAATGGGCGTCCGTATATCAATATAAATATATATATTCCTGTACAACCTTTTTTTTATAGCGTTTTAAGCGTTTTTTCATATCTAAAATGATATACGTGTTCATAATATTTCGCTATTGATCATTTATTTAAATCTCTATATGAAGATCAGATTTATTCATTGTATGTACCTCTTAGGATTCTTGGCCCAGCTTTCAACATGGATTGATAATACCACTTACGTCTATTTTTCCTTACGTAGCTCGTATAAATGGATGGTGCACGATATTTAAAAAATTTAGAATAAATATCATTATGTTAAATGTACTTATCAATTTCACATTGATTGATTTGTTAATAAGTAGATTATAAAATATTCTGTTTTCAATTTCATAATTTCATTGTGGTGGTTCAAATTTTGTTGTGGTGAATAAACAACCAAATTCATGACAGTAATTTCAAATGATATTTCAAAGATTTTCTGTGATTTATGTTTCCTCAAATTTTGAGATAACTAGTTTTATTTACATGCTATATTTTCTCACAAGATTATTAATATTACGTATGATTTCATTAGATATTGTACTAATTTTTCCAAATCCTTCGTATATAAGGAGCTTGATTTTACCAGATACATAAACTTATACATACATTTATACATGTACAAAGTCATATACATGAATATATAAGTGCATGTACATCACCACGAGTTTGGTTATGTACTACAAAAAGCAATGCGTTGAACTTTAAATTTAATCTTATTATTTTTATGTTAAAAAACTTACTTTTTAATTATTTTATATGCTAAAACTTTTATTAATACTAATCGATTATATATAAATTATATTTTAACTAATTCAACTATATATATTACAGTGCAATACAGTGATTTTTTATTATGAGATGAGAGTGATAATTATACAAATATATTAAACAATACTTCGTCTTTTGTTTTATTGAACTTATATATTTTGTATTCCATTATTGATAGAGTGTATAGTTATTCAATTATAAACTGTTACTTCAATCTAAATAATAAATAATTAACTGGGTCAGTTGAAAATTATAATAAACGAGGTAATATCTATTGATAATTAGAAAAATAAAATTAGAACACTAGTTTATTATTATTATACTTTAGTAAATATTTTCTTATAAAAATTCTAGATTTATTTACAATAACGATTGATACAAGAAATTTTATAAGTAAATTATATCTTGTTATCTTAAAATCATTTTTTATGCATAAAACATTATTATATAATGTATCTTATGTTTTTATATTTTTTTTTAATGATTTGTATTTCAGATTTTAGATAATTATTCTGCGATATATGATCTAACTATAACTATATTAAATTCATGAAAATTTTTATTATAGAAGGTTTAAGGAGATAATTTATGTAATATAATTATCACTAATATTTAAAGTTATTTATATAAATTAATGACAAAATTCATTTTTTTAACCATTAAAAATTGCCTTTAGAAAAGCAATATACACGAAATAATATTCATGATATACATTGTAATTATCATATACATGCAATAGTGTACAAAAATTTTGTTTTTTAGTCTTGTTCATTAAATTTATTATTAACGTAATTTTTTATTAAACGACTCATAATGATGCACAATATGGTTTCTTTAATTAATATAAATATTATATAACATATTTACAATAGAAAAAAATAATAATAGACTTTCAACATTCATTTATTATGAATACAAATAGTATTGTTAAAGGTGATTTTTTTGATAGATGAAATTATTGAAAAAACATATAAATTTGATAAATAATGTAGCCCTATCTTCTGTAAAGCATTTCTATTATAAATCCTTTAATGAAATGCATAATTAAATATGTATATATACATATTCATTTTATATAGAAGAATAAATAAAAAATTAATCTAAGGAAAATTTTTACAAATTTTAAAATGTTTATGTACCTCTATATTAGCAGAGAAGATGTAATAATAAGTAATACTATTAATGAATTTTATAAATCATTTAAAAAATTTTTTCAATACCTCCAATATTAAGTTAATTAGTCATCATTCGTGTGTGTCTATTTCTTTTAATTACTTTGCAGAAAAGTTGAAGGTAATTTTAAAATATATAATGCATTAAAGCGGTTGGCAGACGAAAAGTATATGGTACAGCTTAAGCTCTGTATTCAAACTATTTATTATACTACTAGGCATTCATGATAAATAATTCATATGGCTATGTGTGCCTAGGCTCTTAATTGTATTTACATTAATTGTAAAATAATATTTTATTTTACCCAGTGTTTTACATTTTTATTTTGTTTTGTATAACAATTTAAATCACACGTTATTTTTTAATACTATAAGAAAAGAGAAACATATATACAGCTATTTATAATTAAGGCATATTGATAATTTAGAATTATCTAAAAGTATATAAATTTAAAAGAGCTCAAAATTTGTACATGTATAATAAATTCTTAGTAACCTTTTAATTAACTGTTGAACAAAATTGATCTCCGGAGTTTTGAAAAAATTTGGTTTCCTTGATTTCATCATTTTTTCCATTTGACTTTTTGAACGCGTTAATTTAATTAAGCAAACAAACAAAAAGAAGTATTTAGTCACTATTTAAACCGTGTAAAAATAAATAATATATATAAAAAAAAAAACTAAATTTCAATTCAGTGCGATAAAGATTATTTAAGCGAGTATTGTTTTGGTCGTATTATAACAATAAGCAACATATACAACAAAATGAGGCTATAGGCTTCATATATTATACGGTAATATTTTGAATAACGAAGAAAATTGAATTTCTTATCTATTGAAGCTAATAAGCAATATCAATCTAGTAATTTTATAGTGCAGTCGTAAATACGAGCTAGTTGTGCTGAATCCGGAGGAGAAGGCATTAAGAAAAATACCGAGTGGCATCGTAGGGCTGTCCACTAGGTAGGAGTGCGGGACCCCCGGTTGCGAATGGAGATCGCGGGGGACCAGAAGGTGGTCGCCCTGGAGGTTTCACTCCATACAGACTGTATGACTCGTCCAATAGCTCCGTGTCACTGCTTTAACCATATAACATATACACATCCTTTTTATTTTCAGCTTTTCATCAATACATCGCCATAAGTTCTTTAAATATCCCTCACTGATTTCATCAAATTTTACTTGACCTTCAACTTCATTGTCAAATTGAAGCTTTTTCTTCATTTGATGAATATTAATCATAGATGCTTAAAACATTGCCATTAAAAATGTCACTATCTAGACTCATTCAACTTATGAATAAATATGGCTATAAAAATCCATTTATGATGTTAGAGCCAAAAATTCTAACGCATCACAATTTTAGAAATAATTAAATAGTCGATCGGTATGTAAGATTAATTTTTTATAATATTTAGAACATGCTCAAAAGATTACTGGTAACTTGTAACAACAAAGGAGATTAGATAGTAATCAAACACAAATTATTTTACAAAGCTGAGTAGTTGTATAAATGATGTTTTAAAATACACGATTACATTTAATTCCAAGACCATATTTTCATTTTTATAGCAAATAAAATAATGCAAAAAATATAAGAATGAATTAATACGTTAAACTAAAAGTCAAAATTATTAAATATAATACAATATTATACTGAATTGTTCTTAAGAATTATAAATGTAGTAAAATTTAAATACATATTTCAATTATTATAATATTTGATTTGAAGTTAGTGAATAAATCTAAATATTTCAAAATATTTTTTGCATATTTATTATATAATTGATTATGCAGCGATATTAATTTTCTTATGCTAATTAAATAATTTACGTAAATTTAGTCAGATAAATAAGTTCATAGCAATTCATAATGAACCTGAATTTATTGATATCTTAATTACTTTTTCCATTATTGTAACCTTACAATATATGTTTCAACTTATAATTATATGTATATATATATATATATATATATATATATATATATATATATATATATATTGCAATAAAAAATTGAAAATTTATTATCGATAACAAATAAAGTCTCTAATGTGTTATTTATATAAAATTATCAATGAGATAAGTTAACAAATTCAATCTTATTCAAGTCTACGCAATGTATTTCCATTATTATTCAGAACTTTTATTATCAATTAATTATCTCGTAATAATAAAAATTTATTTATTTAATCTTTTTAGTCTGTAGAACCGAAGTATATTTTAAACATTCATAATAATAGGGTTAGTCTGTTCGTATAATCTAATGTGATTTAGTGTAACATTCAAAATGAGTAGTAAGTAATGAAATGTGAAAAATTGTTGAAAGCTCTAAATTATTAATTCTATATGTAATTAGAATTTGAGTTCCAAATATGATAATAAAATCTGCAAGTAAAATTTTAAATAAGGAACATTATATTATTAATAATATTTTATATACTTATTAATAGGGAAAAAAGAACTTGAGATAGTTTTACAAAAGATAAAGTACAACAAGAATTACGAGTGTTAATTGTGAGTTGGTAGATTATTATTAAAATGCGAATGAATTTTAATTATTACCCTGTGCATTTGATAATATATAACATTATTATAAAACAGGTATAATTAAATGAGCAATTGCAAAGCTATTTTATAATAAAATATTAAATTAAATTACATATCTGTTCGATTTACCTAGCTTCTTCATCGATTACCGGTGTTACTGTACCAGAGTACTGTGAATAATAAGGATCCTCGTAGCTACTGCTAGCGCTGTAAGGACCAGGTGGATATCTATTTGATGTAGTTGAACCAGGAGTACTGCCATTGCCGGTATTACCGACAGGCGCAGGAACAATACCTCCAGCACCACCCCTCTCGGGACTACTTATGTAGCCACTTTCACCATGCAGTGGATCTAATGGTAACCCAATGAAAAGATTTAACTTTTTATAACTTTTTTAACTTTTTAAATATTTATTTATTATCATTGATTGGCAATATAAGCGCGTGCAATTTGTTAAGAATTTCCCAACAGAGTCTATAATAATTATATAGGAAGCTCCATTATCATACTTCTGTATTATCGTATGGTGGTAATTGTTATAATTCGTTATCTCTCATTTTTATACACCTTAGTCTGAAACCTCGTCAATGAATCATTAATCATCTATTCGACTAAAATCATACTACAGCCGTAGAATATTTAATAAACGTAAGTTGATTATGATATATTATTCATATATAGTGTATGATTGGGTATTCACATTAACCGCATGTTAATCTCAGTATACACCATTATTCAATAATGTTATAAAGGAACTTAGTATATTCAATTTTTATAACTGATTTAAATAACAATAATTATCACAATTAAAGACTGGCATAGCATAAAAAAACTTTTTTTTGTAAACATTCATCAAAATAAAGTTATAATGGTCCATTATAATTGAACGGATTAAAATGTAATAAAATAATGTAATAAAATATTATAATTGACATATTAAAAGAAAAAATGAAGTAGTTAAACGCATCGATAAAAAATTAGAGTTAAAAATTTTGTATATTATGATGATTATAGTTTAACTACTATAATCTAAGTAAAACATAAAAAATTAACGTAACTCATAATGTAATATTTAATGTTCTTGAAGCTAAATTTATTTAGATTTTTGATAAGCTATCAATTAATTACTTCAGTCATTTCATTTATATAATTGCCAATAGTAACCGAGTGTACAAATGTATTCTAATATTATGTGAAATATTATTTTCCAAGTTCTTAATGATACAAAATTATTACAAAATGAAATATTTTATTTTTCATTGTAAAAAATAGATTAATTCTCATGTAATTAATGTGATAATTTCAAATAAATTAATATTTAGGAGTAATTAATATTATTTGCTTGTCCATCTGTTAGTTTAATTGAAATTTAAAATTCATATTATAATGATTCTTAATTCAGATATTTGTATCTTAATAACTTTCTGATTAGTTGGAAAACTTTATTAACATTAATGAAATTAATAATCAAATTTTTTTCATGAAGAATATAAGATTTGATATTTAATTTATGATTAATGTTTTCCTTACCCATTAATTTGCATTAAAAATTAATTGGTAGCCTATCGGTTCCTATCATACTTATAATATTAATCATTTTCAAACAAATGGATTAACCTATAATGACCGTGATAATTGCTTATTACCTTTGAGAAAATTCTGTTTTATTGTAAGTTAATCTTGTGCATTCAGTGCAACGAGCATATATCTATGTGGAATAAAAGCGCAAAGCCAATAATGAAACATAAAATCGATGCATGTGCTTAGTCTTATGCAAGACCTTAGATGATTTTAGGATGCCCTACAAGGTCATGCGGTATGTACATTCTGTTAGTATAATGCAAGCTTAGATACATAGTATTTACAATAGGACAAAAGTAAACCGAAAGTGGCATTGTTGAGCAGTGTAGACAATATTGATGATGGTCTGATACTAACCTGGTATACTATAGAGGGAAACCGAGCTATCACGGGAAAAGCGCGTCGAACTCCCGAGGCTGCCAAGAGGACTTTTGCCGCAATGGTAGTTTCGTAGAGGTTTGGCTGGTGCCTGCCCCCCTCCGCCACCTATCCAATTACCCCCACATTAACAGTGACTCTTTAGTATGCTTCGCTATCTCATCAATTTTTGTTAATTTAATTTGTTAGGCTTGCACGACCGTTAAACGAACTATTCGGCCTGCTTACAGTTGTTGCGTATTAAATAAGCCCAAAAATTTCAATGTCCAGCAACGCTTCAGTGAATATCATCAGACGCCCTAATTCATGACTATCTAAGTCCATTAAGACAGCCAAGTCATCATTTATATATTTTATATAACTCCATTCGTTTCGTGATCTAATGATATGTTATTAACGCCACGTAATTATACACTTAATTTAACACGTGATCATGCATCGTAAATATGCATATGTAAGACAAACAAAATTGAGTACCTAAAATATCTCATTTCACGTGAAACTGCATTCATATTTCAAGATTACAGCTATACGGACTTAAGCGCTTCTCACTCTTCGATTTAATTCATAAATGCTCATTCAATAAAGAGAGTATGTAATAATAGGTACTACGTAATTATCCGGACAACTGAAAAGTTTTCTGTGAATTTATCATTAGGTCTATACGACAATTTATTTGTACCCTGCATTAGTAGTTTAGTAAATTTGTTTTTGTACCTGGTGTACCAATAGTTTTGGGCTGTCCAGGAACGGCCGTACCATTTGGCCCAGGTAGCACAGTAGTCGCGGGACTGTAGGGTCGCAGCAAAGCTCCGCCTCGGGGCAGCGTGCTACTGCCGCTCATGTAATATCCGGTGCTGGCACTCGCACTTTTGGCACTCTACAATCAAAAAGCGCATATTTTCCTTATATTTCGTTTTATTTCGTACTTCCATCTCCCCCACCCCCTTGATCACTGTCGCCCGCCCTTACATTTAACTTATCTTCATTGATATTATGCAATACATGATATTTTTATTTTAAAATCATTACAGGAAAGTGGAATAAAAATGGAGTTTTTTTGCGTAATTAGAAAATATTTATTTAATTTAAGTGACTAATTAGAGCCAGAATTATCGTATTCCTTTGCAATATTAGAAAACAATTATACGAATCGATAATTGAATAAGAAACAAGGAGTTATGAAAGGATAATGAAATTATATTGAGAGATGTATTTACAGCTAAAGCAAGAAGAAATTTATAGGATATAAATATGTATATACACATATACTTATACGCATATATTAAAATGTAACAAACTTAATATTATTGATACTGCTGCACTAGTAGTCCTTAGTTTTAATATTATTTTAGTATTAACAATTCAATAAGGTTAAATTGCAATTTTAGAATAGTAACTTAAGAAATACATGTATAAATTAAAAATAAGTATTTTAGTTAAAAATATATTGTTTTTTAACATATATAAATTCTACTGCCAATTTATAAGAATTGAGGTAAGGTCAGATTTTATTTTTATTAATATTAAGCAAATTAAAAACACTGTGCAGTAAATAATTTTAAATGGAAAATTTTATAATAAAATTCCATATACAAATAATTGATTGAATATTAATTGTATATTGAACATAGACGATCATAATTTCTATTTCATAAAATCAAACGATGTTAACGAATACTTTATACTAAGTGAAAATTCCCTCAAAATATCAAATCATTAAAACATTATATATTTTTCCATCTAACAATTTGTTACATTGTAATTGAAAACATAATAAATATTGTATTTTTAACAATTAATTATTGCTTGATTTGTTTTAAAAATGTTTATATTTAAATTCTAACTAGTCTAATCGTGTCATAATTAGATATTGCGATAAAAATTACGATAGAGCAATACATTAATTCTTAATAACTTACTTAATGTATTTACATATATAAAATCTATAGGTAGTAGTTTGTGCATGAAAATTGAAAATTCCTTAAATTACAAGTTCATCTTTAATTCATTAATTTATATTTATTTGTAGATAATTTAATAATTCAGTATTGTGTATTGTTCGAGCAAAATTTTAATTTTTATAGAAGTCATTTTTAATTCGTTTAAATAAATTAACAATATATTATATAATTATTAATATAATATAGTCGTTATCAGTTAATTCAATTAAATTAACGATAAATTTAGCAAAGTATTAAAAGGAAAAAATATATAATTACCAAGATGATATAAAAATCTAAATATTAGTTTTTTTATATGCTAACTAATATTTTTCATTAATGAACGTAGAACATGATATGTACATTACATTATTTCATTACATTAATTAATTTTCATAAATATTCGTTTCAAAAACTTTTTAATAGTTAGCAGTAATTGTTGTAGCTGAAGGTATACACTATAAGAATTAAATCATTTTTAGGGCAAATCTATTTAACTATTTACAAAATAGTAATTTGTCTGTATTACCACTGTTATATATAAAATTGTTTAAGCTACTTATTTGTGTAACTTAATCCTTCATTGTTCCGCCTTAATAGAAACGTAAGTATTATTATTATAGTTTATATTCTAACGCTAATTCAAAAATACTGAACTTCATAATTTTGGCAAAAGAATATTTTAGAAATTTATAAAGCTCAAAATATTTTAAATAAATATAATATTTTTATCTAATATATAATTTTTAACTTTTTATTATAATCAAAAATAAAATGACTGTGAAGTTTCTTTAAAAAAAAATTCCTTAAAAATAAAATACAAATCAAAGATCAAAATGCGCAATATTAATATATTGATAAATACTTATTCTACAGCTTTTAAGTCATTTACTTTGATTTTATATATAGAAAATAGAAATACCCCTTCTTATAAATCATTATTTAAGAAAATCAATATTTCCCTAATCAATAAACACTCTAAGTAAGTTTTAAAGTTTTCAAACTCTCGAGGAATTTTTTTTTATAAAATAATAGAATTACATTTTGAAGCAGGAAAAGTTCAAGATATAAAGTTTCCAATATTATTTATAAAAAATTTATTGTTGTTAATACATATTGTTTGTAATAATTAATCAAATTAAATTTGAATCAAGTTAATATTGTTGAATTATAAATCATATTCATGATCTCATGTTAGATGTTACTAATACTAATTTTATTTTCAAAATTAATAACGATACACTAATAAATAACTTATTATGTATAAATAGATTAATTTTGTGTATGTTATTGATATCTATTTAACAAATTGATTATTAATGCAAGAAATTTTTCTCACTATATATTGACAGTTTTATGTAAAAGCAATAATTCTATACAATAATGTTCCATATTAAATATTTTTGTATGTATCTTCATTAACAAATTGTTAACAATAAAGTTTATAAAAATAAATCTCAATATTTATACAGGGCATCGTAGAAATGATTTATAACTTTCTAATTATTATTAATTAAGATTGTACGAGAATAAAAATTTGTACATTAATAGATATAATATAAAAAGTAATGCTTAAATTGTAAACATATTATGTAATCTGTTTTGAAAATATGTTTAATCATAAGATCTTAATTATAAATGAGCAGACGTTTCTTATGATGGATAATATAAAGTGGAGAATGTAAAGAGATTTTAACGATACTATGGTTATATACGTTTGTTAAGTTACGTAAAATCTAATGAAAATTCATTCCAAAGTATTGAGTAAAAAATTAATAAAAGAATATTATTATAAATAATTTTTCACATTATACATTTATAAATAAATTTTCACAACGAATATTGAAGCAGGTTGGAGAAAACTTAAAAAAAAAATAAATTTGTAAAATAATTAAGTAATTAAGATATTTTAACATTTTTCATTAGTTCAATTCCGATTTATATTCAATTACTTTATTTTGAGGACAAACATTTAATTCAAATTTTTGTAGCCGATTAGTGAGCGATATTCGGCATAATAAAACTATATTATTACCGTACGAGAGAATCTTTATTTATAAAAAACAACAAAGCATTTTTTCAAATGAGAAAAATGTTTGCTGTTCAAAATCACGAATGAAAATATTTTAAAAATTTTTCATTCAGCTTGCTTAATCTACGATAAATTATAAAAATATAACGAGCAATATTACAATTACAACTATCTAGTTAAGATTATATATTAATTTTTTTAAGAAACTTGTTTGCTGAATGTCAAAATGTATTGCTTAGAGCACAAGATAAATCTTATAGTATGGTAATAAATATTACGATTTAGAGAACGGTAAATAATAATAAATATTAGAATAGTAATGATTACGTATATGTACGTATTTGTGTGTGTTTTTGTGTGTACGATTGCGTAAGTGTAAATATCCACGTGTGTGCAGATATTATATTTTTATATAACATAACTTTTTAACCACATTGTCTTTCACTAAATTTAATTAAAATTACTGTAACAGAAAATGAATATACATAATTTTATCTTATAGAATAATAAAGTTCTATAATTTTATTTTTATAGATAAGTAATTAATCTTGTAAGAACCCAAAAAATTGAATATACTTTAGCTTTTTATGACAATTTATGACAATGGTAATTTTGAACATAAAATTAATATAATCACAGAAAGTAGTCACATGTATCCAAATAAATAAAATAATAACAATCCATTAATAAAAATGCTTTATTTAATACTAATTGAAATTCAATACTTTTCCGCATATCTTACCGCTCCCCGGTAATTTATTAGATTGAGAATTTTGGTCACATTCTTAACATACTTATGCCTAAAGTAAAGTAATGAAAATTGTAACGTAATATATATATATATATATATTTGATATAAAAAAAATTAAGACACTTACTTACGATAATTGTCCGTAAAGAGCAAACACAAATATGTAATCGACAATAATTGCTTTCTAAATATTTTATTAATTCCTATTTAAAAGCATATATATTCAAAGCAAATATCTTTTTTTTTTTTTTTTTTTTTTTCTTTGAAACAGCAAATAAACTACACGAGTTTCTTAGTGAAAGTTTCGGAAAAATTAAAAAAAAAAGAAGGAGAAAAAGGTTGCCATGGTAAGCTCATTATTGGCAATAGTAATACAATTACGGAATTCTTGAAATCCAAGCTTGAGCAAGTTACCGAGCACTTTGAATCAAGAACAAGGGAGTGGACATTGAAAATTCAAAGGCGGCAAATGTAATCGTAATTGAAGTTCATACCCAGTATCGATCACTTTTATTCGCTCGCTCACCTTCAGTCTGCATTTGCAATGGAAAGTAAACAAGTAGGCTTGAGGCTTGATACGTTCGTGGGAGTTAACTCTTGCTAAATGACAGGCGTTGGCCTCCTCGTCGAAATCCTGTCTCCCTCTTCTATGCCCTGGCGCGGTTACACGCGCGACACGGTGGAGGTGAGGAACCAGTGCGTGCCCCCGTTGGAGTCAACATCGAAGCAGCCAGAGCGATTTGCGTTTCGTTAAGATACACGCGCGCGTAGTGTGAGAGAGAAATCCGCGCCCGGTAGTAGTTTTATTACCGGTCAGGGGGTAAGAAAAGCGCAGAAGGAATAAGAAACAAGAACAGAAGGCTATTAAATAAAGTAAGATAACTGGGACAGTATGATTTGGATGTCAATGGTGTCAGAGTGGGTGAAAGTGAGTCTATTGGTCTTCATTTTTTGTCAGGGAGTGAAAGGGGATCAAAGAGTACAAAATAATAGCACACCAATGCATAAGGTTCAAATGACTCAACGCGGTTACATTCAGGTGAATTACTTATCTTATTAATAAATTGAGCTTATTTACTAAACGAATTCAAGTTTTGAGTAAAATTTCATTGTACAACTCAATAGGTAGTAATTAATTTTATTGCTCCATTGCA